TACTAAAAAGTATGAAATATTTTTACAAATAAATTAAACTTAAAATAAAGTCAGTCAAAATGAAACGTACTAAAAAAATTGTTTTATTATTAAATTAAAATAAAATAAATAATTTAAAATGGAACAATGAAAATAAAACGCTTACTAAAAATATGATTTTTAAAAATATATTAAAATATATTAATTTTAAATAAAAATAATTAAAATAAAACTAAAGAATATTTTGAAATAAATTAAAATAAATAATTGAAAATAAAATCAGTTAAAATAAAACTTGCCTGCATGTCAGACATCAGAGAACCGTGAAATATTAATTTGAGATCTCAAGCAAATATTTTAGCCTAAAGGTGTTCGGCTGATGAACACATTTGGGGATCACTGAAATAAGCTTTCATTCTTTTCCGCTTCAGTCCTTGGTTTTTCATCCTGTACACGTTTAAAGAGTAAAATGCAGGTTTACCCATGAAACTGCAAATGATGGTGTAATTTATTGTGTGCATTTTAATAAATGAGCTGCATGTCGTGCGCTTTGAATGCATTCATAATATTAGTGACCCTGCAGCACAAAAGCAGTGTTAAGTCGCTGGGGTATATTTGCAGCAATAGCCAACAATACATTGTATAAGTCAAAATTATAGATTTTTCTTTTATGCCAAAAATCATTAGGATATTAAGTAAAGATCATGTTCCATGAAGATATTTTGTAAATTTCCTACCGTAAATATATCAAAACTTAATTTTTGATTAGTAATATGCATTGCTAAGAACTTCATTTGGACAACTTTAAAGATGATTTTCTCAATATTCAGATTTTTTTGCACCCTCAGATTCCAGATTTTCAAATAGTTGTATCTCAGCCAAATATTGTCCTATCCTAACAAACCATACATCAATGGAAAGATTATTTATTTCTAAAAATTGACCCTTATGACTGGTTTTGTGCTCCAGGGTCACATGTTACACTTGTGGCTTTTTAAGTATCTATTTCTGTCTCGAAGACGCTTCTATTAAAAGTGGCTTGGATTGCATTGAAGGTGAGCATGTGATCGGTTCATGCATTCACTGGGGATCGAACCCGTGACCTCGCCTGTGTTTTCTCCCTCAGTGCCTTTGACCTGGTGAACATCCACCTGTTTCACGACGCGTCGAACCTGGTGGCGTGGGAGAAGAGTCCGTCGGTCTACTCGGGAACGCGGCAGAAAGCCCTGGGCTTCGTGATGGACAGGTGAGACAGTCTGCTAAATGCATGCTCACTCTGAAGAAATGCATCAAGTGCTCGTGAATTACGGCTCAGAGATCATGTTTTTCCACTCACGCCTTCGCTTTCTGTCCAATGAGAGGCGAGAGCGGCTTTATTAGGCCATCATTTACCTGATTTACAGCCGTGATGATGTTTAAAAGACCTTTCTGGTTGCTTGCATTGAGGATTTTCACAGGATTTTCAGTCTCATAAACCTGTTTTCCTCTGATTACATTACGTTCCCCAAGTGTTGCGTGCAATCTGAAGTAATGTGCTCCTAAAAGGAAATCATTTTATTTTAAAAAATGCAGTCAAAAAAAATATTCACTAAAAAAGAGAATTAAATTAATTCAGATAATTATTAAGTTATTGAATTGTTAACTTAAAATCTCTAGGGGTACTTCGAGAAAATATTTTAGCTAATTAATTTAATTTTAATTTACATTTATTTTAATTAAATCATAAATGATATGATTTAAAAATAAAAACCATCAAAATAAAACGCTTAATAAAAAGATGAAACATTTTATTTGTTCACCTGCATGCCATGTGATCATTAACCGACATAAGAAAATTATTAATTTGTCGACTCGCTTAAAAATTAAATTAAAATCTCAAAGGGTACTTCAAGAAAATATTTTAGATATTAAATATTAATTAATTTTAATTTACATTTAAACCATTGTAAATAAAAAAAATTATATTTAGATAAAAAAAAACATCGAAATAAGCATTACTGAAAAATTAGCAAATAACTGTTTTATTAAATTATTGATATATTAACATCTTAAAAATCTCAACGGGTACTTAAAGAAAAATGTTTTATTTACATTTATTTCAATTAAATAATAAAAAAATTTAAATGAATAAAGTAATTTTAAAATGAAAATGAAAACATCAAAATAAAGCACCTACTGAAAAATCAAAGAATTGTGATCATGTGAATGTTTTGTTCAATTATTGATATATTAACTTAATATCTCAGCGGAATTTCAAGTAAATTTAATATTGATGAGAAATTTTATATGAATATATCATTGTATGAAATGTAAAAGATCATATAATCTGAGAATTATCAGTATTTAACCCCATTGGAATGAATGGAATTTTATTAAATTCCTTAGAATTTATAACTCATGATTGCTCAAAAACAGTTTTCATATTTTTCAACTAAAGCCATATTGTTATCTGATCAGCAGCTTCTCATTAGTGAGGGAATATGAAAAACAACTTTTTTTTTGAATGTTTACCTCTTTTTTTTATTAATTAAAAAAATTGAGAAATTCTTTGAAATTCCAAATTACACATGAACTACACCAAAAAAGTATGATGCAAAATTTACATATATTTTTGTCAATATTGATGAGAAATTTCATTTGAATATATCACTGTATGAAATTTACAAGAACATATAATCTTGAGAATTATCAGTATTTAACTCCATTGGAATGAATGGAATTTTAATAAATTCCTTTGAATTGCTCAAAAACAGTCCAAATTTATAAAAGTTACATATTTTTTCTTACAAAACAACGTAAATATTACTTTTTCAAACAAAATCGATTAATTTTGCTTGCATAAACTTTCACTGATGAAACAAATGCTGCGCTGGTTCATCAGTAGACGTACATAATCCAACCAAATTCAGTCCTGAACGTGTGTGAGATACAGGGAACTGGCTAAATATATTACATACGTTTTTGACACTAATTTAACTTAATATATCATTTAAAAAAAAAAAGGTATTTTCGACATAGGGCTGGACAATAATTCAATATCAATATGTATCGCGATA